GGGGGGGGGGGGGGGCCGGGGGCGGGGCCCAGGAAGTTTGGGCTGTACTGTAGCTGAATGAGAGATGGGGGAGAAGCCTGGAATTTGGAGAGTTGGGAAGCGCGGGGATGTGGGCATGAGCGGGCAGGGGCGTTGCTGGGGTGCAGGAGCAAGCAGGTTGAAGGCACGTGTGAATGTGTGAAGCACAGGCCTTGAAAGGGCAAAGATGACAGCCGGACGCGCAGGGTCACATGCTGAGGGGCCGCGGTGCGCCAAGCCGGTCCCACGCGCCCGCCGAGCTCGCGGGTGCCAAGGCGTCTCGGTATCAACGCGCCCTCACCCCTGCAGCGCCATGTCTGCCAGGCGGTCCACTTCGACGGCGCCACCCCCCACCCTGCCCGCGCCGGCGCCATCGCCGTCGTCGAAGCCGTCTTGGCGGGAGGCCACCCCCTCCTGCGGTGCGGCGGCACGGCGTCACACGCAGGATCAGGCTACCAAGCGGCGGCAGGCACGCACGCCAGCGGGCGAGGGGGTGAGCGGCACCTGAACAGCAAAGCGCGGTTGTGGCCATATGACTGTGGACCCGGATGCAAAGCCTCACTCACCCGCAACAACACAGCGACCAGCGCCCCCAGTGCGCCGGCCAGCGCCGGCTGCCCTAAATCGAGGAAGCGTCCCAGCTGCTGCAGGTGGTGCTGGGGGCTGGCCAAGCTGGGGAGGCCACACACTGACAGTTGCTGCAGCGCGTGCAGCGCCTGCAATTGCACAGGAGCGAACGTTTATGCATATGTGCTTGTATTAGTAGGTGTTTGTGTTGTGTATAGGTGTGCGTGTGTGTGTGCTTGTGTGTGTGTGTGTGTGTGTGTGTGTGTGTGTGTGTGTGTGTGTGAGTGTGTGTGTGTGTGTGTGTGTGTGTGTGTGTTTGCGCAAGCGCACGCGCGCTTGCTTTCGCTCGCGCCCACATGCGTGCGCGCATGTGCGCCTGCGTGGATGTAATTATATGTTGGTTGACAGGGGGTAGGGGTTGCAGAAGGAGCAGCAGAAAGGAGACAGCAGGGCGAGGCTGGGGCTTCTGTGTGCGAACGCGCATATGCCATTAGAGTAGTAATTGCGATGCCCGCTGCTGCTTTGTGCCGCTTCTGCTGCTGCTGCTGCTGCTGCTGCTGTGGCGTTGCACGCTGGTGCTGGTGGTGACGCTGCTCGTACTGGTGCGTACTGGTGCTGGTAAAAGTGCTTGTGCACCCTTGCCAAGAAAATCGTACTGCATGCTGCCAATCTTGCTCCTCAGCACTCGCCACGATGGCACACCTTGTCGTGCGCAAAAACAGAGCTCCTCTCCAGCTGAACGCAGTAACCTTCCAGCCGCCCTGCCACCCCTGCGCCCGGGGCCTCGGCCGCCGCTGCCTCCACCAGCGCTGACTCAGCGGTGGCGCTGAGGCAGATCACGTCTGGATCTGTCTGGATCTTCACATAGTGGAGCATCTGGAGGGTTGCATGGGGGCGCAGTGCCACAAGTGATGTCAACATGATGTTGTATCCATTGATGTGATGAGGCATAGAGTGAGAACAGTACGCTGACTGCACAACGTGCGGCAGTGCCCTGCTGCCTGCGTAGTTAGGCTGGCCCAAAGAGAGATGCCCAGGCATGGAAGCAGGCTGCATTCCTGGATGGAGCTGTAGAGGTGGAGGTTGCTGGATCATGCCAGCTTTGCCATGAAAGTGCAGGCAGCCAGCGGCGCATGTACAACGCTGTCCCCATGCAGCAGCGGAGAGAGATTGATAGCGACCACAGCGGCGCGTGCAGGGGGTTGCGGCATCAATCACAGCTGAACCAAACGCATGCAGGATCCAACGGTGCTGTGGCGGATGTCCCTGCAAGCCATCGCCCGGTGCCATAGCCAGCGATGGCCCCACCTGAAACTTCAGGGGACCACGGCCGTCGTCCGCAGTCTGCATGGCAGAGATCTAGTGTGCACAAGCGGGAGCAGTGGAGGGCACGAGTTGTCTGAAGAAGGAAAGGAGCTGTTTGCAACAGCGCCGACAGACGGGAGCGGTTTTGCTGTTGATGGAGCAGCTGCTCTCGGGGAGTCGGCTGCCAAGCCATATGCCTGACGAATCGCATCGGCAAGCACGCCCTCGGCGCACCTCGTTTGTGACGCGGTCGTATAGCGCAACACCCAGGTTGCCGCTCTGGTGGCAGCAGGCGAGCCAGCGGTTGCGCTGCTCCTGTCGCTGCTCGTGCTGCGTTTGGCGGAGGGCGCCATCGTCGTTGCTGCCATCGCCAGCAAATGAGCCCAAGCCAAATGGCAGCTGATCGTCATCGCATATATTCAACGTATCTGCTCGATATGATGGCGTTTCCAGACGCCTAGCGCGGCCGAAGGCTGGCCCGCCATCATCCGGATTCAAGTGATCTGGCAGCGAGCGCTTCATTATCGAGCGACTGGACGATCAAATCATACATGAAAGAAGGATTTCCGACAGAGACATGATTGTGGTGCCAGGTAGACTTATGATAGACGTGTGCCTGCGTACTGGGGGCCCTTTGTTGTCGTGCAGCACGTGCAAAGCGTGCTCAGCATGAATGCGAGATGCTCTCACGGTCAAGGCCCAATAATGTAGCCTGAAATGACCACGTATTCATCAGACGTAGCCAGTCAATATTATACTGATTGCATGCCGGGGCGATGGTCCAGGTTAGCCTGGCCAGGATAGGCTCAGTCACGTGCTCACACCCAACCCTGTGCAGCCACGCCAGCCATTACGAACAACCTAGATGAGGTGATGCAGCCCTGGTGAAAGTCTTGCAACTAAAATCAGTGCCTCTCACATGGTTCAAGGAGTACTGCTTCAGAGTCCCTCACAACGTCGCAACGCATGTTTGGATGGGTTTGCCAACCTTTGTCGTAACAAGCAGCTGCTGACGGTATCACGCATGTTGGGCTGTAGGGGGTGGCGGCCACGCTGCAACTGCCTCAATGTTGATAATGGAGCCCAAGAAAGGCTGCCACCTCAGCGAGTGCAGTGTTCATAGCACCCTTTGCCTCTATCCGCTGTGAGACTCGCCGGGCGCCTGTGAACTCGCCCCGGCTGCTGCTGAAAACAGCAACGGGGCGTTGTGCGGTTGTCGAGGTTAGATGGCGGCGGCGGCAGCAACAGCAGCGGCAGCAGCAGCAGCGGCAGCAGCAGCAGCGGCAGCAGCAGCAGCGGCAGCAGCAGCAGCGGCAGCAGCAGCAGCGGCAGCAGCAGCAGCAGCAGCAGCAGCAGCAGCAGCAGCAGCAGCAGCGGCCGCAGCAGCAAACACCACTGCCTCATGCGTTGGGTTTCAGTAAAGTGTGTTTATAATGTGACTCACAACCCAGGTTACAGAGCATTGGTATGTGCGGCTTGTGTGCGGACCTAAAAGTTACAGCAGAAATCTCATGTTTGTCATAGGGCCAACCTTCACGATTGGGCCCCATCCGCCCACAGACTGCGAGAAGCGCATTTCCAGGGCTGACACACATGCCGATCTTCCTGCACCACGTTCCTGCAGAATCCCCTCCCAAGCAAAGGGTCATCACATCACCATGCTGGTGCTGCCACAAGAGTACTGCAGCCTTTACACAAGGGCGTACGTGTAGGGATACAAAGACCAATAAATGACCATGCACAACGGAAAGACAAAATATCTGCCTACACAAGGGCCAGCAGAGCCGCCATGTCAGTGTGCGTTGAAGCCGTACGCCTTCCGGTGGTAGAACAGGCTGTGGTGGGGCGGGAGCAAACAAGGGGGGGGAGAGTGCCGGGTCAGATGGCGTGCGGGGGCGCGAGGAGGGCCAGACGGCGAGTTGCGGCCTATGGGCGACTGCGGAACTGCTCGAATCCTGTCAAGTCGACTGACTGCCAACCACGCAGACAACGCCGCCTCAGGGCGCCCAGGCGTGGGCAGGGTGGTGCCGTCAGCCGCCGCGGTTGCTCACTCTGTTTTTGCGGACCCCAGGTTGATGATCTGCGGGAAGCGCAGGCAGGGATAGGGGTGCACAATTGAGTGCACTTAATCCACGTGTGCAGAGCAGGTGGCGTTTTTAGCACAGCGTGCCGGCGCATCCTGGACACCATGGATGATGCGCGCGTGCGCAGCCACTGCCAGGGCACCACAGCAACACACGCACTGGCCCCTGGGTCAAAGTACAGCGCTGCCCTGTCACCTTGGGGCAGCCGTCCCGCTGCAGCCGCCCAATGAGCATACGGGGGGCAGCGAGAAGGGGTGGGCGTATTCAGCAAATTAAGTACTTTCGTGTGCGAGGGACCCAAGCGGCTACACATCGCAGCGCGGCACTACAACACGCGGGCGGCCGCTGAGAAATTGTCGCCCCGTGGGGCCGTTCTGCCTCTTCCACCCACGAGCAGCCAACTGGTGGTGCGTGTGCGATCACAGTGCAGGGCCGGCCCTGGCCATGTTGACAAGTTCGCACACGCATATGCACTGCAAGCACATACACACACATGTACACACACACACACACACAAATGTATCACCCGCACTCACGTCCTTTTCCTGGAGGGTGCACTCCTTGCAGTAGTAGGCGTCGCTCACGCCCACGCCCCCGCAGATGACGCAGCGGCCCTCGTAGCTGCCATAATTGCACTCATCGCAGACCCGCACAAGGGTAGCTGGCCGCACGTAAGAGTCGCAGATGGGGCACTTGCCGTCGCATTTCTCACACAGGCGGCCGATGGCTGCGCGACACGCAAGTCGTGTGGGCAGACGCAAGCGGGCGAGGCATGGGTGGAGGTGGAGGCGTGCCACTGGTGGATACAAACAGGTGCATTGCGATTTACAAGCCTGGTCATTGTGACAACTTTCTGATGCACTCAAGGCAGCAACAAAGCACCACAGTTTGCATAAACCTGCAAGCACGCATGCGCTGCCACTGCTGTCCCTGATGCACACCAATCCGGATTCTTCCCTAGCCGCGCCCCAGCTACGCACCTATGCCGGGCTGCTTCATGCACATGATCAAGTCTGGATGGTGCTTGGCCATGGCTGCCGCAGCTGCTCCTGCAACACCGGGCCTGTGCTGTCCTGCCTCCTGCGCTCAGCTCGAGCTGGCCGACTGAGCGGCGCCGCTGCTCGCCGCTCTCACAGCTGCAGGTGTGGCTAAACTCCACCGAGAACTCCACACACGCGCTGAAGGGCTTAGTATGCCCTGCTACTGGCCTTATCTGCTGAAGCACGTCGAGGACCGGCTTTTTCACCTGTGCGATCTGAGCCCGAAGATGAAAAAGTTTGCGTGCAAATAGTGTGAAAATAATTTAGCGATCTGCTGCAGTACTGCGTGTGACGGCACAGTTGTGGAAGCCCAAGAACGCTTGAGCCACGCTGGACAAGGGCCACTCACTCCGGGCACTTCGTAGGCCGTCCTTCGCTTGTAGCTGTTCACAGAGCGCGCTGCACTGCACGAGCCCCCACATATCAACTATTCAGGTACCTCTCACCCATACAAAGCTACCGTACACAGCAGACAGTGCATAGCAACGATCCAGATCACCGCACCGAGGCGCACCGCCCCATTGGAGAGCTTCCAGGAGGCGCACTCCAGCCTATTCTTGTTCAGATCATTGGCGGTCATGGGAGGTTATGTCCCTCCTCACTTGAGGAAAGCAGCCGCGACAGGAGGAGGCGAACCGGGTGGCAGGTCCGACTCTGGGCCTGCCCCTGCGCGCTCTGGCAGCTATGGAGATGTTCGTGGCGCTGGCAACGCCAGCCGTGGCGGCTGGGGTGATGACCGCGGCAGCAGCGGCGGCGGCGGCTCGTCCATGGGGCGCCGCCCCGAGCCACGAGGCGGCGGCGGCGGCGGCCCTGCTGCCCGCTCGGGCGGCACGATCGAGGCAGTCTTCAAGCCTTACGACCCTAGCGAGCGCGTGAAGGCACTGACTGCTGACATGGTGGCCGACATCAGGCAGCGGCTCAACGTGACAGTTGAGGTGCCCGAGGGCGAGCCCCCTGCAGCGGCGCCCGTGGAGTCCTTCAAGGACATGGTGGGTTTGATGCTGGGCGCATTGATTGGGGTAGATGACAAGCCAGGGCAAGGATGGGTGCGATCTGGCCATACGAAACAGAGCTACTGGCAGAACGGCTGATGAGGGCCAGCCAGGCTTTGACGCGGACTTCATGCACGCACGGCAACCGGATGGCCAACCCCGACGCGAGCGGCTTGACGCAGGCCCAGCCACCAAATTGCAGTGGCTGCAACTCCCAACAGACGCACAGCCGTCCGCTTCCCCCGCTGCCGCCAGCCGCAGCAGCCCCAGCTCGGCGCCAAACATCAGGAGCCCGCGCGCTCAGGGCGGGCTCAGCATGCAGCCGCGCCAAGCCATCGGGCCCACCCCTGACCGCCCCCCCCTCGCCCCATGAAGTAATGCCCCCACTCCCCTCGGCCGCGCCCCTGCAGAACCTGCATCAAAACATCCTCACGGACATCACTGCGCACAAGTACGAGACCCCGACGCCCATCCAGGCGCAGGGCATCCCCGTGGCGCTGTCGGGCCGCGACATCCTGGGGTGCGCCGAGACGGGCAGCGGCAAGACCGCGAGCTTCGCGATCCCCATGATCCAGTTCTGCCTGAACCAGGCGCCGCTGCGGCCGGGGGACGGGCCGATGGCGCTGGTGCTGGCGCCGACGCGGGAGCTGGCGCAGCAGATTGACAAGGAGGTGGGCACAAGGGGGGACGAGGTGTGAATGCTTTTAGACGCGTACGTGGCTTTGTGCGATTTGTTCATGCCTTTTTACTGCTGGGGCTGTGAGCGCCTGGCCGATGGGCCGCTAAAATTTCAGAAGGGCGGGGGAGGGTGCGGGTCCGTGGCCACGCCGCGCGACAGCCGGCCTTATGTGCCTGGGGCGCCGGCATGGCATGCTCCCCAACCAACTGTCGCCGCTGCCCTGCCGCCCGCCGCGCCGCCCGCCCCCCTGTCGCGCGCAGGTGGCCGCCTTTGGCCAGACCAGCCGCCGCAGCTGCCGCACCTGCATCGTCGTCGGCGGCGTCCAGATGCACGAGCAGCGGCACGAGCTGCGGCGGGGCGTGGAGGTGGTGGTGGCCACGCCCGGCCGCTTCATCGACCACTTGCAGCAAGGCAACACCAGCCTGTCGCGAGTGGGGTACCTCGTGCTCGACGAGGCGGATAGGATGCTGGACATGGGCTTCGAGCCCCAGATCAGGGAGGTGCTACAGGTGAGGCGCGGCGTGATCTGGTCGGCCCAGATCGCGAGGCGCTGCCCATTGGATCAGGAGTTTGGGGGGGGGGAGCGCCAGACTCTGAGGTTGGCCCGGAAGCGGCTGCAGCGTGAGCCCGCTGGGCGCCGGGTCCAGGGGCCAGGAGCAACGCCGCTCTGCAGTCCCCGCATGCAGCCACGGCCCCTGCGTCACATCCCAACTGCCACATCTCGTGCCTCCCAGCCCGCCAATCGTTCGCCGCCGCTTCCCCCCCCCCCC